TACCAATCGACTATCGACAATCGAGGTTAAAGTCTATTTATGAGCCAGGTGACCCATCCAGTCGGCGTTTAACTCCAGCTTCCTTACTTTTCGATTTCCTACCACCCCCTGAATGTTTCCCTCCCCTCTTCCGCATTAAATTCGCTAAACACTTGAAAGAGGAGCTCTTTGGTGGATTCAGCTTTTAATTAATATCAGCGAGTAAAAAACAGATCCCAGGTAATAAATAGACATAAAACGAGTTTTTTTTTCATAATAAATAGTACCTATTATTTGCGGACTCAAGCTATAAAAGGCAACTGTAAATCGCGACCCTATAACTTCTTTACTGCTTGTCTTCATCGGGTAATGAAGTTGAAAAGTAACTCATTGCTGTTAATGTAGCATACTGAGCTGCTGTTGGCGTGTTTTAGCCCGCTTTTGTTGGTACATTATTGTTTGGACGAGTTGATACTGTTTTCCTACATAACTGCATGATTACTTATTGACTGACTGCTTTGCTGTTTGGTTTCAGGTATCCACCCTTCAGTAGTCTCAATTCCACTGAATCTATTGATATTATTTGCATGAGCCATTCACTTATTGCATTGTTTGACTATTTTTGTCCTGCTTCAGGAATTTCAATTAGACTTTCACTGATGTCCTTCCACAAGTCATCAACTGGTCTGGATAGAAAAGATGACTCATATGTATCTAGAGATCACGTCAGAAATCAGCAATGGTAACTGAATGTTATACTAGATAAATACCGATGTTACACAAACAACTTTGAAACAAATGCGGAATATCTTATCCGTCTACCCCAGATTCTGTTTAACTGTGTAATTCTGCTGAATATAGAAGATTTTCCGTTCGCTTATTGACTATCTGTACGGAATCAGAGCTTTGTTTGCATATTCCAGCCTAGACTTGTAATTGTTATCTTTGTCAATACTTCTATCATAATCATTACTATCATTATCACTATCAATTCTAAAATTATTTTTGTGATTTTTTTGGTGTTTTCTTTCTAGTTATTCTGATTGTATGCTGTTAGTGATTGAGCTGTTAGATAAGTAAACTTGTTTGGTCCATCATTTCCTCACATATATTTCAACACTCGTGCATGGCCACAGGTTAAATGTGACAGGATAAAACCGAACATATCTGGCTTTGACGTCAGTACCCATTGAATTTTTCACAACACTCCTTCCGTCGGAATTTCCTACAAACACCTGAAAATCAAGGAAAGAAATCTTAAACAGAAAAGACAAACGAAAAAAGGAAAAAAGAAACTATGTCTTTAAACAAAATAACAAAACAAAGAAACAAACACTCTTTCAGAGCTGCCCAGGTCGCAACACGGTATAAGAGAGATTGCAAACAATGTTTGTTTACTAAGGTTGATAAATATTGGATGGTCAATTTAAGATTACATAAATTTAATGTAGATGTTTTTCAAGCTCAATGATCTTACGCGAGAAACGAGAGTTAGATCGTTGACTTACTACTTAAATCCGCTCTTCTTTTAAGCAATCCGGTGTGAATTTTGATGCTTAAAATCTTTCCTATGAACCTCATCTCTCTCCTTCTTCTCATCGCTCCTTATCTTAGGTTATGGATCATATTAAGATAAAAATGTAACCGCAAAGTTAACATCGTTCTGTACCTTTTTAATATTTATTTCCTTGTAAGTGATCCAAGTTATTCCGTCCGCAGAAAGGCGTACTTTGTAACTGGTGACTCGAGCACCCCCTCCATGTCCTTGTGTCGCCACGGCGCAAACAGAGTGCTCTGTGCCCATATCAACTTGAAGAAAGTCTGTTCTCTCAGATCTAGTATCAGGACACCACACACCGTGTCCTCTCCCTTCATTCAATCGGCCATAGTATGGATATTCTTTATCACTGTTAGTGGTGCTCGCTGTCATTCTTGCGTCTGGTATTATGTTCCTGTCTGCCACACCAACAGGCTCACATTCTAAATAAATTGTTATTAAAGAAATAGGCAGTTACGCTTATATCTACCTGCATTGGTTTTTTTCTTCCCGATCTAGAACATTGATATAAATACTATAGACTTTGGGTACTACATATATTGAGATGGTTGAAAAGGATAGGAAAACTAACAACACTTACAAGCAGCGTAAATTCATGAACGTGAGGTGACCCATGCCATTTTTCTGCCTTACCTTAATGCACTTTTAATTAATAGTCTACCAGCCTTTCTCTAAAAACTATTTATCACAATGCTGGGTAACGTTTTTGTGTAAATGT